AGCCAGGCAGGATGATGTGAACACAGCTTTGGTATCAGATTCCCTTGGCTCCTCAGCTGGCAGCAAACAGAGCTTCCCCTCCCAGCTCAGACAGAATTTGGGATACAATACCTTATCGTGTTACATCAACAAGCATTACAGCATGGGAGATCAGCTTATTTTTTTAAGCTGAGGTGCTGTGCCTGAGAAAAGGCCACTGAGCCATGCAAACCTCTCACACAGCCTGTGCCACAGCAGCTGTGGCAGAGTGAACACAGAGCTGCACCTCCACATAGACACACACCAAAGACACGCAGAGAGCACTGAAATATCTGCATGCACTTATTTGGTTACTATTTGCAGGTTGCAAACTTGTTCAAAGTCAAATATTTGCCATTCACCAACGTTAAAACAAGGAAAAGAATCCCCTCAGTGCTGTCTGCAAACTCTGTGTGTGTAACAGACATTGTCTAATCACACAGGTCATAGCTAGAGACCTTTTATTGCAGCATGATTTCATCTTCAAACCATCCCAATATCCACTTGTGTACAGTAGGTTACCCATTTATAGCTTTCTAATAAAAGCAAATCTTCCCTAAGTGGCTGTTACTGGATTTCTCCTCTCAGCCTGGGGATAAGCAGGATCCTGGGCTTTAAAATATCTCCATTGGGCTGAATAAGAAAGTGACAACTGAAGAATGCCATGGCAAAACTTTGGTGTGTTCTAATTACAGCACTGTTAACGAGAGGAACATTTGTCAGGCCACAGCATTCGTCACGTTTAGCACAGACACAGGAGAGTGAGTGTTTTCTCCTCCTCTCGAAGATGCCACTGGAGGTTGTGTCTGGCAGCACAAGGAAATAACTAATCCCTCTTTTTCTCTTTTTTAATCAAGGACTTTTAGGAATTTGCACACTTTACTTCTACAGAAAATGATGTATTTATTTGCCTGTGAAAACAACCCAAAGTACAACTCGAGGAACTTTCTGCTCGTTACATCCAGATACATCATTTGAGACTTATTTCTCCAGAAGCTCCTTCATTAACTCACATGTCCCTTCCATGTTTTCCACATTCCACCTCAGCACAACATGAGTAACACAAAGGCTAAGCTGTAAATCCTGGAGTGGTTGACATTCAGTATGAACATCTGCAATGTGTAAGGAACCCTCAGAGCAAGTTGCTTGCACCAAGACAGGCAAAGGCTGGTAAAATCATAAGGCACAGAGCAGTGTAGAAGGATCACAGGGTGTTCTTGTACAACACAGAGTGTCTGAGCCAGGGAAACTATCTGCAGGAATTGGCTTGGATTGAAGTCACTGCACCCTGCGAGTCCAGGACAGTCTTCACCTACCACACTCTCTGAGGAATCACAGAATCATAGAATCAATCAGGTTGGAAAAGACCTCAAAGATCATCAAGTCCAACCCTACTGTGGTCACTAGCCCATGGCACTAAGTGCCACATCCAGTCTCAGCTTGAAAACCTCCAGGGATGGTGAATCCACCACCAAAGGAGCCACAGACTTCACACGGTGCAGTGGGAGTTACAAACCTGGAAGGAATCAGTGGCATTTTAGAACGTGAAGGCTCTTTTGTGGGCTGTAGGAAGTGTTTACATTTCCCCAAACCTTTATCCAATTAATAAAACATAATAATCAGGTGGTGCCTGGGACCTTCTCACTCTCCACGACTCCAGCCAGGAGGTGCAGCAGGTTGGGGTCAGGATCTGCTCCCAGGGAACAGCCTCAAGCTGTGCCAAGGGAGGTTCAGGTTGGACATCAGGAGGAATTTCTCCATGGAAAGGGCTGTCAGGCATTGGAACTGCTCAGGGAGGTGGTGGAGTCACATCCCTAGGAGGTGTTCAGGGAATAACTGGACATGGCATATGTTCTGTGGTTCAGTTGACAAAGTGGTGATGGGTCACAGGTTGGACTCGATGATCCTGGAGGTTTATTCCACCCTAAGTCCTTCCATGATTCTGAGAAACACTAAGTACAAAAACACACTGTCCAGTTCCCCAAACTGCCACAGCTCTGAGCACTCCCCACATGCAGAACCTGCAGGTTTTTCCATTAAAGTCCCTGAGCACAGTGTGTTTGGACTCTCCCTGGATGCCTCACACAAGCACCGCAGATCTTTCCATATTATTTTGGCTCTCCACTTCCACAACAGCATTAAACCTTGGCAGGCAGGGGATTTGTATCAATCATTTCAGCAGAGATCTCTGGGTGCAGCATCAGCCTTTTGTTTGTGTGCCTGGGATTAGCAAGACATTGCTGAGATCATCATGTATATGTTTCACAGCCAGAACAGCTATTAGTATTAAACAAGGAAAAAAAACCCCAACAAACCCAGAAGAGCTGCAGCCTGCAGTGAGCAGCTCTTTAAACAGGACCCTAAGCTACTTTCAGTGGTAGTTTTAAAGGTGATCATTGCAAAGAACCTCAATGGATAAATTGCTGCAGCAGGAGGAGAAGAGGGGACAGACTCAAGCTCTGCCAGGGGAGGGTTAGGTTGGATCTTAGGAAGAGATTTTTTTAGGGAGAGAGTGCTCAGGCATTGGAATGTGCTGCCCAGGGAGGTGGTGGATTCACCATCCCTGGAAGTTTTTAAGATGAAACTAGATGTGGCACTTAGTGCCATGGTCTAGTAAACACAGTAGGGTTGGACTTGATCTTGGAGGTCTTTTCCAACCTGGTTGATTCTGTGATTCTATGACCTGTTTGCACAGCTCTCAGCACACCAACACTGCTCCTTCTGCCAGGCTCCACCACCTTTACAGACTTTATACAAAGTGCTTTTCCAGGCCTCTTTCCCACCAAGCTATTGCTCCTGAAAGGTTCTTTTCTCCTCACTCACCACATACATTTTGCTAAAGAAATGTAGAGGGCAGAGGAAGAAGAAGAATGTTTCTACCTTTTGAAAAGAAGTGTCAAATCTATTACAGATTCTACTAAAATCAGTGGTGTCTTTTGCCACATCCAAATCCACTTCCCTGGCTCTCCCTTCAAACCAAACTCCCCTCAGCCAAGCACAATAAGCAACACCAACCCTGTGTTATTCTGGAGTGGCCCATGAACATGCCACACCTGTTGGTACTGCACACATAGACTCTTAGTTTATGATTGTTACTAAGCTTCTTGAAGTGGCACTTGTAAAACAAAAAAAACTCAAACAACTATGGACACCAGAACTTTAGTTTAGCCTCCTGTGAACTTCAGTTTAGAGAAGTTTGGAGAAGTTTGGCTCTGCCTGACTTTTTCCACAGGCCTCCACCACCCAGCACTTCCCCAGTGCTGCACCTAACAGGAGACAGAACACAGCCCTAACTGCTGGGAGGGAGAGTCTCACCCCAAACATGTGCTCCCCTTACCTTCCAAATCACCCTGGGAACTCCTGTTTGCATGCTAAGAGTCTTCTCACTTCAGCACTCAAAACCTGCTACAGAAAAAGCCATTCAGATTAAAACCTTCTGTTCATAAAACTCTACATTGTATTTAACCCTGTGCTCAGGCACTTGGCAAGGGAGCAGATGATTTGGGGAATGGATTCAGGCTATGAGGATGTAAGAACTGACAACCCAACAAGCTGTGCTGTTGTCACGACAGGTCACACCACCTTGGCATATTCTTGGAAGAGAAGGGAAGAGGAAATACAAGCTCATGTGTTTCAAGAACATTTTCTCTCTCTCTGAAAGGCCTCAAGGAATACAGTTGGGAATAAAGCATTTCTCCCCAACAACATATTTTCATTCAGATCCACCAGTTCCTGCACCTGATCAGCCTTTCCTGGTTATGTTTTTACAATTAGGATTGGATTGCACAGATGATATTTGGATTTCAGAGCACACTCCCCATTATTCACGTGTGTTCCCCTCTCCCTCATTTCTAGTTATACTCCTGAGCCTTAAGAACTTTGACTTGTCTGACAGGGGTGGCATGTTTGCATTTTATTAAAAGAGCTTCAGGTAACTCCAGGGAATTCACTCTACACAAAAAAAAAAAAAAAGAGATCATTGTTTTTTTCAATGAGCAGAATCTCAAACAGGTATAGAAATCAGCTCTTGAAGTTCAACACTTTTGTTTTGGGAACAACACAGGAAAAACAAACACACACACACCTGGCAGAACTGTGGCTGAAATCTGAGCTCCAAAGAAACATATGATTGAATCATTAGCCCTGAACAAACTGGTTCATACTTGGGATGGACCAGCCCTGGTCTCTAATTCCTGGGATGGACCAGACCAGCCCTGTAATTTCTGGGATGGACCAGCCCTGGGCTCCAATTCCTGGGATGGACAAGCCCTGGTCTCTAATTCCTGGGATGGACCAGACCTGATCTCTAATTCCCCCCCTCCCTTTCCATAGACTTTTAAGGGGATCAGCAAGTGTTACAGAAATTAGTTTTATTTATATATCTCCTATGTTTCATGGAATTTTTACACTCCTTTAAAATCTTCCCACCTCTTTTCTTTTCCAACACCAAATCCCTTTGGTGTCTACATCCCATGGTATAATTTAAAATCTCGGGATAAGGAAAAAGCAGAGCAATAAAATCCTTCCAACTTCAGCAATTTGCATGTTCCTGCTGCATTACCTTAATGCATTTGTGCTTTTGACAAGAGATGTAAAAACTTTCCCCCAGGATAAAAAGATTTAGTTGGAGAGGACTGAAAATGCTTATTTTAAATCAAGTTCCTTTGCTGTCTGAAGTAAAAAGGATCTGTTAAACCGTGATAAGGAAGAGTTGGATTTCTAAACCAGCATTTTTAAACAGCACATCTGTCCTTGTACCCACCAGCTGAGGTGACCTCCCCAGCAGTGGAATCTGCACCACGGTGTGAGTGAAGCAACTGGATAAAGTTAGCCCTTAAGTGTGACCATTTTGGCTCAACAGCCAAGATTTAGCCTCTAATGAAAAGGAACTCCATTAAAACCCTCTGCATTTCATTTCCTTACACATCACGGACACACAGTTAAAATCCAAGGGATGTATTTTGGAAATCCATCACTCCCCACTAGCTGACCAGTTTGGGAAGCACAGTACAAAGAGGTATAGTGCTGACAGAGTCGGTGGTCAAATTAGCCCTCAGCTTGTTGGCAACTCCAACCACAGGAGGCAACTTGGAACCTATTCCTTGGAAGGAACCTGTGTAGCTAGAAATCCGTTTGGGGGTTGGTTTATCGGCGCTGGAAGCTTTGGGCGTTCGTTTACAAATCCAAGGGTGCCTCAGGGCTTGACTCGGAGTCATGCGTAGGGCAGGATCCCAGCTGAGGCATTCCTTCAGGAAGTCTATGAACAAGGGATCATCACAGCCCTTCAGTGCTGTCACCCAGTCCTTGTTGCCAGGAGCTCCCCGGAGCTTCCCGCGGCGCGAGCGGCTCCCGGTGAGGGTCACTCTCCCGTCCACGTGCGTCGTCACCGTGCAGTAACGAGGGTGACCCTTGGAGTTGATGAAGTTCTTGGCTCGCTTGGATTGATCCAAGAGCTTCTGAGGTGGCATTCCAAGAAGTTCCATCATACAAGCCAGTTGGTCTCCCTCATCCTCGCCGGGAAAAAGAGGGTAGCCAGTTAAAAGCTCCACCAGGATACAGCCAAAACTCCACATGTCTATGGGCATCCCGTAGCGACTGCCCAGGATCACCTCCGGCGCCCGATAAAAACGAGACTGGATGTATGTGTAGACTCTTTGGTGTTCAAAACAGCTGGACCCAAAATCTATAACCTTGATTCCACTCCTCCCTTGCTGTTTCAGGAGGATGTTTTCCGGCTTCAAGTCACAGTGGATGATTTTGTTCCTATAAAGAGCATCCAAGCACTGCAGGATGGAGTGAGCGAACTTGCGCACCAGCTGGATGCTGAAGCCCTGAAACTTGTTCTTTTTGATCAGCTCGTACAGGTTCATACTCAAGAGTTCAAAGGTCATGCAGATGTGATTCCGAAAGGTGAAGCTTTCCAGCATGTGAATCACATTCATACTGCCTGTTTTATCCTGTTTCTTCAGGTGCTCCAGGATACGGATTTCCTCCGCGGCTTGGCGGTGGAACCTCTTCTCGTTACGAACCATCTTTAAGGCCAAGTGTTGGTGGAGTTTGTGATCATAGACTTTAGCAACTTGTCCAAAACTGCCCTTGCCAATGATTTTGAGCACTTCATACCTGTAAGCAAGGTGGTCGTGGGGCACGTGGATGTAGCTGCCTTGGTCGTCGTCGTACCCACCGTTGTTGGGACCCCCAATGACTCCTTGTCTCTTCTTTGCAGTTGGACCCACAAAGTAAATCTCGGAGAAATTGAAGATCTCTTGCTGTTCATAAGCAGATAATTGGTGTTTGAACTGTTTGATAGCTTGTTCTGGAGCTTGGGAAATGGCTTTAGGTGGTTTAGAGGAACCACAACCACCTTTAACAGTGCTTAGGCTCTCTATGAGTTTGTCTTTTGCCAGGGCAGGAAGAGCTCTCTCTGTACTGGTGACTCCTGCAGACTGGTGAGTGCTGCTCCTTCTGTTCCCAGAGTCCTCAAACAACTGCTCTACCTGATTTCCAGTCAGAGGATGATCCTTCATTATGACTTTGTTGCTAGAAACCTACAGAGAAAACAAAAAAAACAGCACTTGAGCTTATCTTTTAAAGCACAAACTCAATACCACGTACACCGAAACCAGCAACACCAAAGGGGAACAGATATAAAATGCTGGAGTAAAGTTACAAACACAGGGTACACAAAGAGAATGCAACTCACTGCAACAACCCTTGCACAGATGTAGTGTGTTTTTACTCCATAAAGGGAAACCCTAGACAGCCAAACACTCCAACAAGGACACAATACCTATCTCGAGTCAGCAAACAGCCAGGGAACAGCTATGTTTAGCTCTAACTGTGGGTGCAGCAGCACAGCCAACGACAGATGCAGCTTGCACCTGTCTGGAAGAGGCAGTGTAACGTGAACGTGCAGAGAAGTGGCAGAAATATTGCACAGACAAGTTGCCAAAGGAAGACACAGAAATGCCAGGGGTGACATATGGCTGGTGTGACCCAGCAGAAGGAGGACAGGGCAGGACAAGACAATCCATCCTTTGAAATAAAATAAATGGGGTTTATCTACAACTGCCTGTGAAGTCATAGAGAATCGTAGAATGCCCTGAGCTGGAAGAGACCCACGAGGATCACCCAGTTCAACTCCCTCCCTGTACAGGACAGTCCAAGATCCCACCCTGAGCCTGAGAGTGTTGGCCAAACACTCCTGGAGCTCTGTCAGCCTTGGGGCTGTGCCCACTGCTCTGGGATCTCTTCAGTGCCTCGGGGGGAATAACCTGGTCCGGATATCCAACCTAACCCCGTTCCAGTGCCCAAACACCTCTGAAGGGGGGAACCTTCTCCTGATATAGAATCATAGAATCGACCAGGTTGGAAAAGACCTCCAAGATCATCAAGTCCAACCCTACTGTGGTCACTAGACCATGGCACTAAGTGCCACATCCAGTCTCAGCTTGAAAACCTCCAGGGATGGTGAATCCACCACCTCCCTGGGCAGCACATTCCAATGCCTGAGCACTCTCTCCCTAAAAAATCTCTTCCTAATCTCCAACCTAACCCTCCCCTGGCAGAGCTTGAGTCTGTGCCCTCTTGTCCTGCTGCTGGTTGCCTGGGAGAAGAGACCAACCCCCACCTGACTCCAACCTCCTGTCAGGGAGTTGTGGAGGGTGAAAAGGTCTCCCCTGAGCCTAACCCTCCCCTGACACAGCTCCAGCCATTCCCTTGGGTCCTGTCACTGGTCACCAGAGGGAAGTGAGAGCTGCACAACTATCCATAGACAGATTTGGAAGCTTTTACTAATCAAGACTATCTCCTACTCCAGCTCAGCTGGCAGCAGTGTGTACCCACTGCCTCTCCCTGCCCCTGAAATGAACCCAGAGAAGATGAGACACACAAAGGAACATTTCCAAGCTTGTCCTTTTCACATTCTACTCAATGCTGAACTCCTTGGATGTCAGTTCCCTACCAGAACAACAATCATTCCCTTTTCTCCTTGCTGCCACTCGGTGCTGATAGGTGTTGTCTCACCCCATGCACCACTGAAGCCCTGCCTGGAGTAGCAACATCTGTTTCCCATTTTGTCCTTTAATCTAAAAATAAAGATTTCAGACACATGCCAAACCGAATCCCTGAAAACCAAAATAACTACAAAAAATATAAATAAACCTGCAGACCCACAGCAATAAACCCAAATTCCTTTTTACTTACATCCAGTCCAACATCTCAGCACGGTCAGTAAATAAGAGAAGTGAATGTTCTGGCCAAAAACAACTACACACATCTCTTAAAAAGAGTCTGTTTGTTGGTGCTGCCTTGAAATGTTAGTTCTTGTGAGCAAGCCCCAAAAAATAGGCATTTCCTGCAGCAAGTCAGTCCTTATCAATGGTGATGAGGGGCCCTTGGATATATCCTGCTCAGTTTCACTCCTCTGTGTCCTATCAGCCCCAAACTGCAGTGCAGTGGGACAGACAACGCCTTGCCAGAGTCTTAAACACAAACAACACAGCCCAACCCTGGAACTCAGCACAAACGCCTTTTTCTTGGAGCTTGGCTGAACCTCCCAGATAAGAAAGACTTTTTTAAAGACTCTTCAGTCCCACAGACCCAAACAGCAAGTTTACAAACAAACAGAGAGGATAAGGACAGAGCCAGGTTAAGCACTTAGTTAAATATTCTCCAGGCAGGAGGAATTACAACTGTGCCCGTGCTGCTGTTCATAGCAAACATTTTGTACCTTTGAATCCCTAAATAAAGAAGGAATTCATTATTCCATGTATCCTGGCAGGGTTTCTTAGGGAAGGAACTATGGCTTTGGATTTCAGATCTGACTCAACAGTAGTAAGGTCTCAATTTTCATTCTTAGAGGACTCCCAAAATCATTTGCCACATGATGGTGAGACACAAATATAGATCCATCTTCACTTGAACCCAGCAGAGCTGCACCCAAAGTCAGATGACTTCTGAGACACATCAGATTTATTTCAGCAGTTTCTTTAACAAATCACAGGCTCCACAGGTTTGGGATTATTGATAGAGGTAAGAAATCAGCCTGACACCAGTGGCTCTCACAAAATCTCATTTGAATTGACAAGGAACCAGTGAATCCAACTCCTACACAACTGGTTTGGCAAAAGTGCATCAGATATTGTCTGAAAATATGTATTCTCAAAGCAGAGAGACTCCTGCTCTCTCCCAGCTCAGCTGAAGCAATGGGCAGGACTCCTCAATTCTCACATAACATTACATGGCAACACAAAATTTCTGCAGGGGAGCTAAGTATCACTTGAATCCTGACACTTTCCAGTAAAATAGAGCTTCATGATTTTCACCCTCAGCTCCTGCTTGCATGATACCCCTGAGGTTGTGTGTTATTGATGTATGATCATGCAAAACTGGCCATGTTACAATCCTTCATCTCACCTTAAGAAGTTAACACTTCAGGGACAAAACATAGATGAAGATACAGCAGTGAAACAAAATATTCACAGTCACATTTGTCTGTAAATGGAGAGTTGCATTCGACTGACTTGTGTTATGAACAGCTGAAGTTATACCATTAAACACTGCAGTGGAAACGTTCCCACATCCCTGCAAACAAAAAACCCAACCCACTACTCTACTCTTCAAACTCTGAATTCCTTCTGCTCTCCCTCAGCATTGCCAAAAAGGGAAAACACAGCCCCAGTCCCTGAGCAGGCACAGACCAAATATCTGTTGCAATGAAACCCCACAAAGTGATGATTTTCATCTTACTCAGGGAAATGCCCAGTTTCACTTTTTAGAGAGTTTTTTTGAGCTTAAGCTCCTTCCCTAGTGCCAGAACTCCACAAGAGCCAAACCCCATCTAAAACCCATCTAAAGGAGAGATCAGTGTACAAAAGCACAACTAAATGTGACCATCACTGCTCTGCTGGACTAGTTCAAGGGGAGATCTCCCAACACCACATCTGCTGAGGGAACACATAAAACCATAGAATTGATCAGGGTGGAAAAGAGTTCCAAGATCAAGTCCAACCCTACTGTGGTTACCAAACCATGGCACTAAGTGCCACATCCAGACTCATCCTGGAAACCTCCAGGGATGGTGAATCCACCACCTCCCTGGGCAGCACATTCCAATGCCTGAGCACTCTCTCCCTAAAAAATCTCTTCCTAAGATCCAACCTAACCCTCCCCTGGCAGAGCTTGAGTCTGTGCCCTCTTGTCCTGCTGCTGGTTGCCTGGGAGAAGAGACCAACCCCCACCTGACTCCAACCTCCTGTCAGGGAGTTGCAGAGGGTGAGAAGGTCTCCCCTGAGCCTCCTCTTCTCCAGGCTGAACACCCCCAGCTCCCTCAGCCTCTCCTCATAGGACACAGCCCTGGTGAAGAAGTGTTAACACCTTCAGGCCAGAAAGAGCTATTTTGGCAGCAAAGTGGCAATTAATGCCCAAGTTTTCAGAGCAGAAAGATACTTTTGTAAGGTGTTTGGCAGCCATGCAAAGCCATACTGCTCCTTCTGCTGTTTCCAGGTACTTATTCAGGAGGGAAACTAAAATGGGAATGTGCAGAGGTAAAGCAAAGCGTGTGTGGATTTCCCAGTGCACAGGGTGACACAGCAGAGCACCTCAACCCTGGCTGAATGAAGTCCCTTGATGAAAACAGGACAGTAAGTTGGGATTCCTGAGGCTGCCAGCAAGTTCTGCCTGGAGCACAGCACATCATTTTTATGCTGAGGGAAAGCAACGAGGTTAATAAAACCCCTACAAAGCTGCACCATCCCCCTCGTTAAACTGATTCTCCACAGGGAGATCCTCTGACTCCTGGAGAGCTCTCACTGCCACACAACACAACACAGACGACTTGTAAGTACTCACATTAGGTCTTGCAAGGGGAGGAAGTCTCGAGGGGCTGCGTTCTTCACGTGCAGGCTCCTGGTATCTAAACTCATCTATCCTCATATAGGAGTCATATAATCCATCCCCAAACCTGGCTGGAAACGTCCCATACACAAACCAGTTAGTCACAACAGCTCACGTGGATGGGGACTGAGTCAAAACGCTGAAAATCACCTCCCTTAGCACATCTGAGCCTGTAAAACCACCCCTTCTCCCCCAGTTATTAAACAATCTCGGGTTTAACTGCATTTTAATACCGCCAAGCCGTCGGGAAATCCTAATTCCCGATACTTTTCATTTAGAGCTTCCCTTCTTCTAATCAACTTTTGCATGGCAAAAAGAAACATTAACCATCGCACTCCCCGTTCCCCCCTTAAGCAGGATAATCCCCAAACGAGCAGAAAACGAGCAAAAAACGCTTAAAACCACTTGATAGGGACTATCCCTTCGAGCGGGTTAGCCTTTAAAAATGAGACGTGGGAATTAAGAGACGGGGAAGAAAAAGGGGGAAAAAAAAAAATAAAGGTGGAGTCGCTGTTGGAGGATTATCAACTTCAAATCGCGACGGAGCCAGCGCAGGAGAATGACCCGTGGGGGGACCCTGATGGCCCCGAGACCCGCGGGACCCTCCGGTTCTGCCCCCCGGGACCCC